GAGAAAATAATTGAATTGTAACGAATTTTATTGTTACTGAAAAAATTTAAATATTTATAGAAATAATTGAATTTCTGCAAAGAATTTTATAAACATTTTTAAATAATTTATTTCCTTCGACTAATTTTATGTAAATTCTAATTTAAATAATGGAATTTCTAATAAATTTTGATTATTGATGAAAAAAAATTGAATTTTTACGAAGATTTTTACAAAGTTTTTTTAAATAATTGAATTCTCATTGAAAATTTTATGAAAATAGTAGTATATAGACATTGATAATCATTGAATTGCGAAAAGTTTTTAAAAATAATTATTTTACAAGGAGCTTTTGATTATTTTTCAAAATAATTAAATTCTTGAAAACGATTTTATTAGAATTTTTTTCGGTATTTTTAGAATTTTAGAAAATTAGAATTTTTTAAAATAATTTAATTGACAAAAAAATGTATTACTTTTAAAAATAATTGAATTCTTCTGATGATGAATATTGTTATTTATGAAAATAAATTGAAAATAAATAATTGAATTCTTGGGAAGAATTTTATTAAAACCTAAAAGAATAATTGAATTATTTTTAAAAAATTTAATTAAAATTGTACTTAAAATAATTGATTTCTTTATCGAACAATTTTTTAAAAATATTTGAAAATAATTGACTTCCAGTGAAAAATTCTAATATTTTTGTAAATAATTAAATTCTTCCAAAGAATTAAAAAAAAAACATTTTTTTTAAATAATATTGATTTTTTTGAGGGATTAAATTATTGGAAAGGAATTTTTGAACAATTTCTATAAATTAAAATCTAATAAAAATAATTGAAATCCTGCGATGATTTTTATTATTTTTGAAAATCATTGCAAAGTTGCAAAAAAATTTTATTAAAATTTTCAAAAATAATTGAATTCCTGAGAAGAATTTTATTTATTTATTTATGAAAATAATTGAATTATTGCGAAAAATTTTATTAAAATGTTTAAAAAGAATTGAATTCCTGTGAAAAATTTTGTTATTTTTGAAAATAATTGAATTCTTGCGAACAATTTTATTAGAATTTTTTGAAGTAATTGAATTTCCAAGAAAAAATTCATTATATTTAAAAATAATTGAATTCTTGTGATGAATATTGTTATTTATGAAAATAATTGAATTTTGCAAAGAATTTTATTAAAATTTTCAAAAATAATTGAATTTCTGAGAAGAATTTTATTTATTTATAAAAATAATTGAATTGTTGAGAACGATTTTATAGAATTTTTTAAAATAATTGAATTTCTGTGAATAATTTTGTTATTTTAAAAATAATTGAATTCTTCATAAAAATTTTATAAAAATTGTTTTAAATAATAAATTTTTTCGAAATATAATAAATATTATGAAAATTTTATTTGAAATAATTGAATTCTTGTGAAAAACTTTATTTGTGAAAATAATTGAATTTTTCGATTAATTAATTTAAAATAGTATTAAAAATAATTGAAGTTCTTCGATGAGTTTTATTATTTATGAAAATAATTGAATAGTTGAATTGAATTTTATTAAAAATTTTTTAAAAAAATTAAATTTTCATGAAAAATGTTATTATTAGTGAAAGTAATTGAATTATTCTGAGGAATTGTATATAAAAATTTTGTTAAATAATTGATTAATTTCATTTTTTTTTTGCTATTTTAAATTAATAATTGAATTCCTGTGGCAATTTTATTATTTATAAAAATAATAAATACTTGTGTCTAAAATATAAAAATATTGAGCACAATTCATACAATTTTATTATCCAGTGTAATCCTGAATTCTAATTTTCTTTTTGAAAATAATAATTAAATAATTACTGGATGGAATCACTAAGTTTTGATAAAAATAATTGAATTTTGGATGAATTTTATTAATTTTTGTTAAAATAATTAAATTCTTTTGCAAAATTCTATGAAAATACTAGATATTGAAAATAATTGAATTTCGAAAATTTTTTGAAAATAATTGAATTTCGAATATTTTTTTTTAAAATAATTGAATCGTTTTAAAGAATTTGATTATAATTTTTAAGAATAGTTTTTTGATTTCTAGTATTAGTGATTTTAAAGTAAATTCTCAAAAATATCAAAAATAGTAGCTTTTATTGGCTGAAATCTTAAAAAATACCCAAATAGTATAGCATAAAGTATAAAAAAAGTAGTAAATAGTATGTTTTAGTAGATGAGTGCGAAGCCTATAGACAAAACTTGAGACAAGGCGTACAACTTTGATAAGATCCAATCAAAGTGTGTATATATGTATATATAGAGTATAGTTGAGGCGCATAGTTGGCAGGTGTATTAATATTAAAATCGTGAACCGCCGGTGCAAATGTCTTACTTGTAAAACAGATCTGTCGGGTGCGAAAGTGGCAAAGTCGTTACGAAATACTGTATACATGTATAAAAATGTATATATATGCATAACACACACACATAGGAAGTTCCTTGTAGAGTCGCGGCTCTGAGTGTATAGCGCGCATGCTATATACATATACGCGATGATCTAACTCACCCCACCCTTATAAACGGGGTAGCTGGCACGTACTGCATAATGCTCTGCTCCTACCTGTGGCTCTCATTTAAATGTACTAAACCTCGCGCCCAACGAAACAAGCTCTTTTTTTTTGTCTCGCCAATACATATATATCTCGCGTTCGTTTCTATATATTGACACCGTAGCTCACAAACGCGCAGGGGGGTAATTAATCACACGGAATGAGTACCTGTTGCGCGACCGGTCAATCTGCACTCTCGTTTTTAGCCCCCGAAAAAAATCCCTTTTTTTGAACGTCGTCGTCGCCATCGCAGGTAGTAGAATTCGAATTCTTGGGAGCATCGACTTTAGAATGCGTTATACATATATATACCTGCGGATATTTGAGTTTCCCACTACTACTAATATTTAAGAGGTCAATTTTTTTTTATGAACGAACACTCGGAATGAATTTCTTTCCGATATTCAATATAGCAAAAGAATATATAGTTACAATTGTTAACCTGTTGCGCGAATCGAGAAATTAAATTATTGTCTTTTGCGTTCCGATATGAGCGGGGAAAAACACTTGCCACATGGGGTTAAAATTGTTCCCGCTCTTAATGAGAAATTAGATAGCATTGGATTTTAATTTGAGGAGAAAGAGAGAAAGAAAAAAAATGGGGATAATTGATTTTTAAACTATGGTCTTATGGCGAGTTAATTACCCTGTATATATGATATGGTGATTATTAAATATTAATGTATGGGAATATTTTTGTTTTTCGGAAATTATTCAAATACAGTTGGTGTATATTTGTTAAAGGAGTTGTTCTAGTAATGAGAGTTTCGAATTAAATCATTAGGGAGGGTGTTAATGTTAAATCAATGTTAGCATCAAAATTAAGTTTAGCACCAATTAACATTATTGGTAATACTAACATTATCGCAGAAATTAACGTTGACCATTTCTATACTTTTAATATTTTTTCTTTTTGTTTCAGATGCAGCAGAAGAATCATCGAAATAATAATAGGATATTTGAAAACCAAATAGTAAACCTATTTTCTTCAAGGAAAATAGTCGATACTTGTCCTATAGGTAAGTTTTGAGTATATTTAGAACATTTAAGTATTTTTAGATTTTGATTATTTAAGTATAATTATAATATTTGTTTTCATAAGTATTAAATAATTTTATGTTTCAGATGCAGCAGGAGGAGAACTATATCTACGAAGCGGTTGAGGAATTATCGATTTTAAGCAGATAGGATGTATATGGTAAGGCACAATATAAATTATATATTTAGTAAATTTTAAGAATTAGTATATTTATGAAATTTAGTTTTAAGTTTTGTTTCAGATGCAGAGCAGAATGAAGGGTTAACTTTAGAAAACCAAATCGTAACCATATCAAAAGTCAACCTTCCGGAAGATGTGCAAAAAACATTCATCCTTTCACAATTTTTCTATGCGGATATCAAATTGAGACCATATTAATGTATCAAAATAGTTGCGAAGCAATAACGTGTTTTGATACGTTTTTTTCTCTCAATTTGACATCATTACGAAAATTGTGTTAAGAACCAAAGTTCCAGATGGTCAGCTGAAATATCATCGAGTTAAAAGGGTGTTCTTTAGAGAACTAAATCGTAAATAAACCAATCACCAACGTAACGACAATTTTCTCCTGAAGCTCTTGAAAATTGCGTGAAACCTAAAACATACCAACTCTGCTGCCTCCTGTCAAAAATAAAATTAATAATACGGAATTTATTAAATCGAAATAATTTTCTTCCATTTTCTAGAAATACATATATAATGTAAAAACTATAATTCAGAATTTTATCACAGAAATCCATTTATTTACGGTAAAAATTAGATAAAAAGAAAATTTGATTTCACTATTTTTCCGATTAGGACAATTTTCACAAAAACTTTTTCAAAATAATACTAGTTTTTTTCACAGAAGAGACTAAAAATTTGGAATACTGGAAAATTTGAGATATTAAGTTTTTCACATTCTTTTTTTCACTATTTTTTTAAAATAAATTTTTTTTGATAATTTTATGATAGTACGATATGATAAAATGGAAGAAAAGATTTTCGAAGTATGTAGATATATATATTTTTTGTGTTAAAAGGAAAAAAATATATATATGTATAGATATGAGTATGAGTGTGTAGTTAAAAACGTCACGGGAGCACGAAACACGACACAGGAGCGTTGTTGACCAAGTTGGTGTGTTGGTTTGGTTTCATTTCTTGGGCTCGGGTATTATACACGAGAGAGAACCGAGTGCACCGAGCAGCAAAGGGATAAAAGGACCGGCGCCTGGGGTGTTTGAAGCCAGTGGTATGGAAGGCGGAGCTGTAAACTGTTCCAACCTCCCGATGACGTAGCTGACGACGGCCACCTTGCTACATGAGCCAATCATTGTTCCCCATTCACATCAAGTAGTGGGGTTACCCTCACCACTAACCTCGCGCATGACGGAACCTTACTCCTGGACCTTAGGAACCTCAGGCGAGCTGCGAGGCGAGGCAGTCAGTCGCTCTCAGCTATGACATGCATAACGCATGAGAGCTAGCCGATCTCTTAACAGTCCGTCTGTCTTTCTCTATTTACTGTCTGTCTGTCCTTCTCTCTCTCTCCCTAGGCAAATTTTTTTTTCCCCTCCGTGGGTGTTTAATTACCGGTTTTTGTTTTTTGAATCGCGAACCGGTAAAAGGAAAATAAAAAAAAAAAGTGCTTCAAAAGGAGTTACAACACTGTGGATGAGTGATAACGTAGTGAGGTGCGTGTTTGGTGTAATTCCGTTTGCGGGAGATGTGCTACGAGGATAGTGTTCTTTGAACTCTAGGGATTTTTTCGGCGAATGCGTGCTGTAGGGCACTTGATAGAAATTACCTCGAGGAGAGGTATTTGGAGTTAGAGTGTTAGGAGTAGATGGCTGCTACCACGTACATGCCGGTTAGTAGTGCAGTTTCTTCTGACCTGGATGGTGGTTCAGGTTCGACGATCGGAATGAACATCGCCGTGGGTGGCTACTCGTCGGGCTCACCCCGGAGTGCAGCCGACGCTGGGGAAATGAAGTACATGCCCGCGCCGCAACATCATCATCATCACCATCATCATCACCAGGTGAACTCGTCGCCATCGCCAAATGGACTATCGCACTCGGCGGCGAGTTTGTCGTCGGCCAATCCATGGGTGCCGGATCCTTGGGCCGCATCGATGGGCATGCACCACACGACCCACCATCCCCATCACCATCCGCATCAGGCGAATCTGGACGTGAAACCCCTAACCGCGGCGGCGACCGCCACAGATCAGGGCATGCACCATAGAGGACCCCATCAGTCGCCAGGAATGGCGTCGCCACATTCCTGGCACGCACCAGTGGTCCCCTCGGCCCACTACAACCCATCCGGGGGCGCAGCGTCGCCAACTACGCTCCAACAGTCCGTGTACCATGCGGCGATGAACGGCATGCTCCACCAGCATCCCCATCAGCACCCCCATCAGCTCCACAATCACCAGGCAGGGCTACCTCACCATCTCCGCGACGCTCACAACCACAGTCCCCCCTCGGGCCATCCTCTGCACGGCGGCCACCCCCTCGACAGGGACCACAGCGCCGGCGAGGAGGACACCCCGACCTCCGACGACCTCGAGGCCTTCGCCAAGCAATTCAAGCAGAGGCGCATCAAGCTCGGCTTCACTCAAGCCGACGTCGGCCTCGCCCTCGGCACCCTCTACGGCAACGTCTTCTCCCAAACCACGATATGCAGGTTCGAGGCTCTCCAACTAAGCTTCAAAAACATGTGCAAACTAAAACCCCTCCTGCAAAAATGGCTCGAAGAGGCAGACTCATCAACCGGCTCCCCAACCAACATCGACAAAATCGCCGCTCAGGGCCGCAAACGAAAAAAGCGCACCTCCATCGAAGTGAGTGTCAAAGGCGCCTTAGAGCAACACTTCCACAAGCAACCAAAACCCTCCGCCCAGGAGATAACCAGCCTCGCCGACAGCCTCCAACTCGAGAAGGAAGTCGTCCGGGTCTGGTTCTGTAACCGGCGGCAAAAGGAGAAGCGAATGACGCCACCAAACACCCTCGGTGACGGCATGATGGAGGGCCTACCACCCGGTCACCAAAGCCAAGGCGGCCTCCACCAAGGCTACCATCCGCAGGATCACCTCCACGGCTCCCCAATGGGCCACAGCCACAGTCCCCCCATGCTAAGTCCTCAGGGTCTCACGGCTCATTCCCTTGCGGCCCACTAGCGTTCGCCTGGGCCTCCCCCACTGGGCCTCGTCACATCCCAACCAAATTCATCCGGAACACCGGAATCCGTGCTACCACCATTCTACCATCACTATCTTCAAGCGCGCACCAGCAGCTACTCCAATTCGTAGCTAGTCCGTCGCTATCAAGCACAATGGGATTAAACGAGGAACCAAAACTACTTCTGCAAGGGAGAGGCTTTCATTAAACTGCAGTAATTCCCCCCCAAAAAAAAAACAAGTGTTTCGGGAATTAGACTATAAACTCTAAAAAAAGGACAAATTCTCCGAAACTGCTCCAAGCAAATTTCCGAGGACATAAAATATATATGTAAAAAGAGAAGTAAATATTGAACTGTAAATAAGATTTAAATTAGTATTTTAAGTGTGAGCGACAATTCCCGCGTCTCTGTTTATTTCTCTCTCGAAAAAAAAATAGTGAGTGTCTCATAATAATTATTTGTCATAAATTCGGTTGTTGTAACAGAAAATTTTGATTTGTAAAATTCACGATTTTTGAAGACTTCGTTTGCATCGAAAATCGAAGTTTAGCAAAAAATTATCCGAATAGATATTTGCAAGAGACGTGTGCGATTCCATCGAGTCCCCCTCATGAAAAATAAGTCCCCGTCTGTATAGAGTAAGTATATATGAAACATATATATACATTACGAACACGAAAAAAAAAATTGCGGAAAGATTTTTAGAATCGTAGATTTATATAAAAAAAAATTTTTCTTCTTCTATATTATTATTATCGTCATTGTCTCTTCTCGTTTTTACACTTTTTCATTCTGGTAATTTGAAAAAACAGACCCCTTAATTTTTGAGAAAAGGGAACAAACAAAATCCCCTTTTGAAAATAAAAGGAAAAAAGAATTTTAAAAAGAATTTACTCGCGAGGGTTTTTAATCTCTTTGGCTAAAATTATGTGTTTTGCAAAGAAACAGAGACTATTGTGCTTTAACAGAAAGAATTTTTAATTTTAGTAAATTTTTTCTTAGGGTGATGAAAATTTTATTTTTACCGAACAGATCGGATAAATAACCGAACTTCGGTCAACCGAACACAAGTTCGGTTATTTAGCCGACGGGGAAAATTGGAATTTATTTTTTGAAAAATAGTTTACCGACGGTAGGAAAATTTTGTTTTTTTTGGAGGGAAAAAATTTTGATAGTAGTGGCAAAAATGAAAGAAAGAGGAAAATTCGAAAAAAGAGAATTACATTGATAATATAGTGTAAATATAGTGATAATATTTACCAAATTTGAAAAAATGTATAGTGACGGTGAATTTTTTTTTCTTTCTTCATTTTTTAGTGGAAAATTTTCTTTATTGCAAATATTGTTTACCGTCGGCAAAATTTTCGTTTTGATAATCAATTCCCGTCGGAAGGAATAAAATTCTTCATCACATAATCAAAATGTCGAGTGTAAATTATAAATTCTTTGAATTAACAAATTATTTTACAGCAAAAACAATATTAAAAAAAATGCAATAAATAATATTCAAATACAAGGAAATAACAAATAACTGAAAAAAATCGAAAATTCGAACGTTTCTGATTCAAATTTGTGTCTTAAAGTGTTTAACTATCAATCGTTTTGACATTACTTCTTTTCTCAAAAGACTTTGTTTGAAAAAATAATTTTTTTGAGTAAAACAATAAATAAAAAAAAAAAAAAAAAAAAAAAAAAAAAAAATCACGAACCTTCTAAAGTTTCTGATTCAAATTTGTGTTTCAAAGTGTTTAAATATCAATCGTTTTGACATTTTTTCTCTTTTCAAAAAATTTTGTTTGAAAAAACAAATTTATGAGCAAAACAAATTTTATGATTGAAATAAAAAAAAAATTGAATCACGAACTTTTGAAAGTTTTTGATTCAAATTTGTGTCTTAAAGTGTTTAAATATCAATCGTTTTGACATTTTTTCTCTTTACAAAAAATTTTGTTTTAAAAAACAAATTTTATGAGTAAAAAAAAATTGAGTCATGGACCTTCGAAAGTTTAGGACTTTTTTCTGAAAAGAAACAAATTTTCTGAGTAAAAACAAAAAAAAAGTAAATTGTAAATTAAAATAGTAAAATTGTAAAGTAAATTTCGGGTGTAGAAAACATCTCTTCGTTTTTTGATTAATTTGATAAATTTCATAAAATAGACAAGAAAAAAAATATTTAAGACGACAAGTATAGTTAATAATTCTCAATAATTCGAATAATAGAAAAAAAATTGACGTTTTCCAAAATTCTAATAATATGAAAAAATTTTTTTTATTAATATTTCATTGTAATTTTTTATGATATTAATATTGTAAATTCTACTATATATTTTTTTTGGTAAACTTTACATTTTTTAATATTGTAATTTTACTGTTTTAATATCTTAAAAACTTTACTATTTTTAATTTTGTAAATTTTACTATTCTAATATTGTAAATTTTACTATTCTAATATTGTATATTTTACTTTTTTAATACTGTAAAATTTACTATATTAATTTTGCAAAGTTTATTCTTTTAATATTTATTTCATTATATATATGTTGTAAATTTAACTTTTTTAATACTGTAAACTTTGTTATATTAATTTTGAAAATTTTACTCTTTTAATATTGTAAAATTTTACTTTTTCTTTAATACTTAAAATACTACGTTAATTTAGCAATATTTAAATTTTTTTACAGCTTCTATAAATAATTTTAAATAAAATACAATTTATACGAATAATTGAGGAAAAATTACTATACTTTGAAAAAAAGCTTCTTCTCTCAGTCAAGTTTAAACTAAACAAAAAATTAAAAATTATTATCGTTCGATAAAATAAAAATTTTTTTTTTTTTTAACTAAAATTCGATCTCTTTGACATATTGGATTTGTTTACTTAGAGCATTTTTTTTTTTTTTTGCTTTCAAACGTTTACACTTTTTACCTATGACTTTTACAATTTTACATTTTGTATAATGAAAAATTTGAGAAAAAATTTAAAAAAATACTTTTTCCTATTTTTTATTTTAAAAGAAAGACGAAAAATAATAATTAACAAAAGTTAAAGAAATTTTGATCAAGAAATGTACAATTTTTTGTTATGAACTTGAAAAATAAGGAAGAAAATAAAGATTCAATTTTATAACTAAAAAAGCACAAATCTCGAGATTGCAACTAGCCAATGGGATTTACATTCACAAAAACTTACAAATATATATTTTTATATATTTATGAATATTTATAAATATTTACAAATATTTTGAATATTTAATATTTAATATTTATATATATTTATATTATATATATATTACATGTATATTTGTATAATATTAGTATTATTTTTTCTCCCGAATTTTTTTTCTCCCCCAACAATTACGGTTCTCCTGAATATTCTGTACATACTAAGATCATTATTGTCGTTGTATATAATGGAAAGCAGGCGTCATTTTAAAAGATAAAAAAAAATAATAAAAAAAGGGACAGGAAAAGTGTGAAACTCGTATCGACGTGGTAGTCAAACTATTCGACGATTAGAAAGAAAAAAAATTAAATTTTTTTCCAAAAATGTTCATCTTTTTTTTTGATAAAGACACGCTTTTTCCATGTACAGTTTGATGACAAAAAAAATTACCTCTTTCTCGCCGTTTGGTATTTCTGATTATCGCGTTTCCATAAAAAAACGAAAACTAAAAATATATACAAATTTTTAAATATTTAGCAATTTTTTTTTTTTTTTATCATTATACAAATAACGAAATCATTTTTTTGACAATAACGGATTAAAAATTATATTTTCATAAATTTATCTTATTTTTTTCATTACTTTTATTTTTGAATTATTTTTTTAGAAAAGAATATTTGTTTATTTTCCCCTACTTCCCCTTTTTTTCACGTTTTTTTAAAATTAATTTCAAAAAAAAATAAAATTGTTCTTAGTGAAAAAAGAAAAAAAAATTGTTAGCCACTGTTTTTTCTCTCTCCTTTTTGGTGGACAAACTCTCTCCCCCTCCCCTCGTTCCCTCCCCCCTGAAAGAATTTGAAAACCGTACCACGTCGAACCTGTCCGCGAAGCGTCCGCTTACCAAAGACTGGTTAAGAGACTACATTCCAGACCAGCTTTACAATTTTTTTTTCCCCAACAGTGGCACACCTGAGTCAAATTCAAAATGAAAAAAAAAAAAAAATTCTCAAATCCGCCGTGAGATAATTTTTTTTTTTGCGTTATTGACGAAAACGCGAAATTTTTTTTTTCAAGTGATTTTTGTTATTGGGAAAGAAGAAGAAAAAAAAGAAGGCATCGCGCTGTACATTCCACTGCAGAAAAAAATTATGTGTTAAAACTGTTATTATAAAAAAAAACAAAGTTTTAGAAAAAAAAAAAAAAAAAAAAAATATGAAAGCAAAATGGAAAATAATGTAATATATAAATATATTATGTATATGTGTATAATTATATAATTTTTTAAGAAATGAAACAGACTGACGAAAATTTGACTCACGTTGCCAGTGTCACGATGGAAGCTCTCACATTCCAAAAGAAAAAAAAAAACACATTGTGATACTGTACCGTTGAGAAAAAATCTTGTTTAATTGTTTTTTTTTTTAATAAAAGTTCTTCGTCAATGACGAACTATTTTCGAATTATAAGAAAAAAAAATTAATTTTTTTAACATAACGGCCTTTCGTCAATAAAAAAAATATCTTTTTTCGTTAGTGAAAAAAAATGTTTTATTTTTCTTTTCAAATAAAGGTCGTTCGTCTATAAAACAACGAAAAATCTACTAAATTTGTAAAAAATTAGTAAAAAAAAGTTGAAAAAGAAGTGAAAAAAAATTATTTAAAAAAAAATAAAATTTCAAATTAAAAATTAATTTTTTTTTCTGTAATTACAAAAAAATAAAAAAATCTAAAAAAACAAGACTTCCATTATGAATAAGATTCTTTCTCAAAAAATTCGGTACCTTTGCGCTGTGAAAAAAATATTTTGCCCCGAAAAATAAAATCGCCTTTAAAATTCTGCGAATATCAGAATTACCCAAACAGGCGTGTTTTTTTTCTTTTAAAGAAAAAATAAAGAAACAAGTTTCACAATAGCGTCGAAAATTTTTTTCAATGGGTAAAAACTACTGCGAGAAAAGGAAAAATGCGAGAGTATCAATCGTTCGTTATTATTATAATTATTATAATTATTATTATTATTATTATTATTATTATTATTATTACTATTATTATTAATATTATTATTATTATTATATTATTATAATATTATTATTATATTATTATTATTATATTATTATTATTATTATTATTATTATTATTATTATTATTATTATTATTATATATTTTGGTTTTTGTTATTTTAATAAAACGTGTGTACAGACAAATTGAGAGAAGAAGCGTGCTGATGTGATTGAATGAATAAAAAAAAAGCGAGGGTTGAATGTTTCTGAAAAAAAAAATTGTCATCGAACACTGTCAACAACCGAATCTATATAGAAAGAAAATTTTTTTGTAAGTTTCAGAGTGTTGAATCTTCATTAAATTGTGAAAAAGAAAAATTTTCTATTGTAAAAAGACCTTTATTTTACATTATAAACAGTTTTGTGTTTATAAGAAAATTTAATTTTCAAAAAATTATAATTTATAAATTATATTA